TTTTGTCCTAAGTTGGTTCTCCTGTCCAGTCCGCCACCACTGGACTCTCTCCTCTGTACGAAGCCTCCAGTAAAGCTCCGTGTCACATTTGCTGGCCCTGGATTTCTTCTTTAGTTTCTTGAATCTGTTGCCATCCCTACTGAGGTTGATCAGGGCTTGGCACAACAATATTTTGCCCTAATTATATGTAAAAAGGCCATTAGGATCAGGGCCTGAGGATGGATCGTCCTCATCAGTGAAGCAAATGCTTGTGCTTCCTGTCAGTTGTCCTCTGAGGTGTCGTAAGTTGCCTGCTTACTTGTCTTATTCTGGATTGTGCTGGATTTCAATATATCTTGGAAAAGAAAACTTCCTTTATTCCATTCAAGTCAACCGTGGTTTTTAGACCCAATTACCAGAACCATGTATGCTTGGAACCCAGATCTGGTCTTGCCACATGGAGTAACATGCTCAGGTTTCTCCTCTTTGAAAGCATAGAACTCCAAAACATGCTGCAAAACAGATGGCCACATAAGGCCATAAAGGAGAAAAGACACAGGAGCAGCCCTGGTGTTCGAAGCCAGGAAGTTCTCTGGGCACACAAGCCCTCAAAGAGAGCCAGAGCGCACCCCTCTTACCTGCCAGGAGCACATCGTTGGACACATCTCCTTTGTCACCCTTTTCTCCCTTCTGCCCTGGTGGGCCCTCATTTCCCTGCAGGCCCAGTTCACCATGGTCTCCCTTTTCTCCCCTTTCCCCTGGATTTCCTGCAGCTCCAGGTATCCCTGACCAAAAAAGCAAATGACATGTTAGCCTATGGTGCAAAAAGTTCTGGCATACCACTTTATATTATTGTACTTTGTGCTTTCCAGGGAAGCAGTTTTATACACCAAACACACAGCTTTTCATAACTGTTTTAGAGCAGTAGTGTGACCATACGTTCATTAAAGAACAGCATTTCCAGGTGGCTTTGCTGGATTATTTATTTATTTATTTTTTGAGACGGAGTCTGGCTCTGTCACCCAGGCTGGTGTGCAATAGCACGATCTCGGCTCAATGCAACCTCTGCCTCCTGGGTTCAAGCAATTCTCCTGCCTCAGCCTTCCAAGTAGCTGGGATTACGGGCGTGAGCCACCACACCCATCTGATTTTTGTATTTTAAATAGAGACAGGGTTTCGCCATGCTGACCAGACTGGTCTTGAACTGACCTCAGGTGATCCGCCTGCCTCGGCCTCCCAAAGTGCTGGGATTACAGGTATAAGCCACTACTCCTGGACTGCTGGATTATTTTTAGAGAAATTTGGCTGAGCCAACAGGTTGGAGAGAGGAGTGAACCACAAGAGGGGGCAATGACAGCAACAGTGGAAAGAAGGTAAGGAAGGCCTAATGAGAAGTCTGCAACCATGATGCTCAGAGGCGTGTGTCTGCTGCCATAATAGTGAGTGTTAAACACATTATTTAGTTTATTCCTAACAACATATTGGAGTGGTAGGCTTGGCAGTCATCCTTACTCTCATTTTATAGATGTTGAAACTAAGGCCTACAGTGGTTATAACAGATGCTGCCAAGTCAGAGCAGCAAAGCACCTCTGATTCCATCTCCAGTGCCCTTTTCTGTGACATTCCAATGCAAAATACTTTCAATCACAATAGCAAAACAGGTAAAGTTGCTTTAGGACAACCATTAATAGGGATGGTGAACAAAAGGTAGTGGGTGAAATTTCTGCCTCTGTTCACAGGGAGCTATGACTACCGGAATTGCTGTCCTCCCTACATTGCTAGAAACCAGTCAAGGTCTAAGTAACAGCTTGTGTCAGCCTTGAACCCTGAGCAGTGAAAGCACCCTTGGATTGTCCCAGTTCACTGCTGGGAGGTAGTTCCCAGTGGCACAGGGAGGAGGATCTCAAATAGCCTGTCAATCTCACTAAGTTGAGGGGCCAAAAACCAGAGTTTGGGGAGATGGAGATGGCTAGAATTTGCAAGATAGAAGAGCAGAAAGGAGACAGCTGTGTGAGAGAGCCCTGTGGATCTGCAGAGGGCTCTCTTGAACCTGTGACTGAGGGATGACTTCCACACATGAGGGAATTCCAGAGGGCTGGGAAAGGAACTCACACACTGTTCGCTATAAAATTCTCAGGGCTCACACAGCAAAAATTTCTCATTCCCACGGCCAACATGGAGAAATCTCATCAAATACTGAAATACTGGGTAGAGTCCTTGAAAAAGTCTAGTTTTAGTAGTGGGGCTAAATTAGCCCCAGGTTAAAGGCTGTGGTGGACCCCATCATTACAAAGTTTCAACACAAGTTTTTAAAGGATCAAACCTATCTGCCAGTGATTTAACTGCCTGACTCTGTGCCTGCTGAGAGTCCAAAATTTGAATCATTCAGTTCATTTAACTCAGCGTATTAGCAATTTAAGCAAGAAAAAGTATATGATCATCTCAAGGATATAGAAAAGGCATTTGATACAATTCAACACCCATTCTTGATTTGTCAACAAACTGGGAATAGAAGAGAACTTCCTCAGTCTGGAAAAGGGCATTTACAAAAAAACCTACAGCTAACATCATCCTTAATGGTGAAAGACTGAATGTTTTCTCCCTAATATCAGAAAGAAGGTGATGGTATCTAATCTCATCACTTTTATTTAACATCCTACTGGAGGTCCTAGCCAGTGCAATAATGCAAGGAAAGATAACTCAAAGGCGTACAGATTGAAAAGGATGAAGACTGTTTGCAGATGTCATGATTGTTTACATAGAAAATCTCAAGGAATCTATAAAAAGGCTACTAGAACTCTTGAGTATACAGTTATACAGGGTCCTTGAGAGGGGAAGTTATTATGTAATATTGTACTAAGTTATTGCCAGATATGGATCAATTACCATGATACCCTATCTCAGAGAATATGTGCTCATTTTAACAACCGCCCCTTGGAGATATTGCTTAACAGAGGTATTGCCCAAGTGGCAGAGATTTCAGTGATGGGGAAGTGAGCATCTCACAATACCCCACAGTTCATATCCAAATGCCGTTCATTGCCACCAGATTAATTATTCCCTAAAACAGCGGTTCCCAACCTTTTTGGCACCAGAGACTAGTTTCGTGGAAGACAATTTTTCCATAGACTGGGGTGTGGGGAGGGATAGTTTTGGGATGATTCAAATGTATTACGTTTATCGTGAATTTTATTTCTATTATTACATTGTAATATATGACAAAATAATTATACAACTCACTATAATGTAGAATTACTGGGAGCCCTGAGCTTGTTTTCATGCAACTAGACAGTCCCATCTGGGGGTGATGGGAGACAGTGACAGATCATCAGGCATTAGATTCTCAATGGGGTTTGTACTCCTATGAGAATCTAATGCTGCTGCTGATCTGAAGGGCGCTCAGGCGGTAATGTGAGCACTGGAGAGTGGCTGTAAATACAGGTGAAGCTTCGCTCAATCATCCGCCGCTCACCTCCTGCTATACGGCCCAGTTCCTAACAGGTTATGGACTGATATGGGTCCAGGGCTTGGGGACCCCTACCCTAAAAATAAACCTAGAGCTCTTAGCACCCTTCATTTACCCCAGAGCAGTAATAAATATTCAAAATGGTTTCTGCTCTTCCATATTCATGCTCATATTCCATATTCAGGGAAGTGTCCTCAGACTATTCTAAGGACGACAGCAGTGCATGACAAAGCCTCAAAGTGTTGATCACTGTTAGAAGAAAACTGTAGTGAACAAAAAAATTTGCTAGATTTCAACCAACCAATAAAAAAAAAAATCTTAGTGAAAACCATGAAATTCAGCTACAGCTGGGAGTCAGAAGTCCCAGGGTCCTCACCACTACCAGTGGTAAGCTTGGGCGGTGGCTGCCCGCCCAGTGGAGCTGGGGGAGCACAGTAGAAGAGGATGTGAAGAGGAGCAGGGGATCCCTCCATTGTCAGCGGTGGCTCTGCCATGGATTCAGTGATATAGGGGTCAAATCATGCCTCTTTGAGGGGTCATGGCTCGTAATACCTCCCTCACGATAGCACCAAAAACCTGTTGCACTGGCTCCTCCCAGCCCTCAGTCATCAGGACATCTGGGTGGAAAGTGGTTCACTCACTTGAGAAGAGCCCTTCTGCCAGGCCCTCTGTGTGAGAAGACATTCTTTTGTCAGTGTTTTAAATAGGCAATTTGGCACATCATCTGAAGGAGACAAAAGACAGGGCATTGCCATAGAGTCCAGCCCGCACAATGCACCAAGTGTAACTGACACCTTCGAAAGGTTTCACGTGACCCAGATTTAGCAGTGCTCAGGGAAATGGTATCTGCTGGTTACTGCAGGGATATCTTCTTCAGGCATTTATTCTAGTCACAAACAGCCTTCTGCATCATCAGCTTATTTCCCCTTCCTTTCTTTTCTTTCTTCCTCTTATGTCTTTTATTTTCTTTCTCGGAAAGGCCATATGTGAAATAGGGGGCAGCTGTTGTAATGCGCCCCCCACAGGGGCAGGTATTTAAAGCTATTCAAGGCCTTTGCTTGAGGCTGCATTTTGACTCTAGTTGGGAAATGCATGATCATTTTATAGCTTTCATTAAGAAAGGGTTGGGGGACATTTTGTCTGCATAGAGTCTGCCTTTGCCCTCTTGTCCACCATAGCTCTGACAAAGCATCCCCTCGTCTTTGTTGGTAAAATTGCCCTGGCTGTGCTTTCGCTGTGGTATGTCAGAAATTAAATACCACCTAATCACGATTCACCATCAGGAACCTGTGTGTGGCATTTTCTTCCCTGCCCTGTCCCAGGGAAGGTCAGGGATGCCAGCTGTGCAAAGTGACACTATGACACTATGTGATGTGGACCCCTGGCTGGCTTTGAGTCGGCACATTCTGCCAGAGAAGAAAGGCCAGACTCTGCCTGCCTAACTTGTGCGAGGAGTGGCTCTCTACTGTTTTTCTCTGGTGTCGCCCACTCAAAACAGTTTCATCAGCATTCGGGTTTGGAGTTGTGTGATATCTCGAGACTGAGGTCAGCTCTCATCTTCACAACATGGGGTGAGGGAGGATGTTTTATTTTCAGCAGTATCATCTGTTGCTAAGGCGGGGGAAAGGGGCGAGAGGGTGTCACACAAAACCCAGTCCTGAGACACGAATATGGAGGAGGGTTTCATTTCTGTTTTTATAAGAATTTGACTTTTAGAGAAGATACTGCAACATTAACTCTTAAGTGAGAAAATGAGAGGCAGCTGGAAAGAAAGAAACTGCTTTTGAGGCAATGGAACGTCAGACTTCATAGAAGATGCTGGTTGCACAATTGACAACATTTAGGTTTCTTTCAGTTCTGACCTTTTTCTTCAGATTTAGGTTGGTGTTTCCACATGAATACAGAACACTTCCACTTAGATTTCCTTTTGGTTTAAAATAAAGTTTCTCCTTCCCCACTTTTGAAAACAACAACAATAATAGCTAATCCCAGTATAGCACTTACCATGTGTCAAGCCCTCTTCTAAGCACTTTGTATATATTAACTCATTTAATCTTCCTAATAACACTATGAGGTTAATATTATTATTGTTTCCATTTTACAAATAAGGAAATTGTGGCACAAAGTGATAACTTGCCCAGGGGCATACCGCTCGTAAGCGGAAGAGCCGGGACACAAATCATCTGGCTCCAGCTCTGGCTCTGAGCTATTCCACCATCATTCTTAGCTTTTCTAAGGTCAGAACCTGAGAAGCTTTGATGTGTCAATCTCCTGGAAGCAACTGTTAGGCTACAGAGCTTAAACTCTGGCTTCATCAGG